AAGCGAAAGCGAAGGATTTGTTCACTGATCTTCATTCCACATAGAACTGAAACGTGTCACGTCGCAATGGATCAAGCGTGGCCAAGGCTGTGATGGGATGGGAACTACCAACGTATGTCTGTCCAAGGAACTACGGGACCTCAAGTTGCGCTTCTAACGAAATCCAGTCGCGTGACGGATTGATTAAAGGACGAATTCACGCTGGAAAGGCAACCCATTTCAAATTAAGTTAGCGATGGTGAGTGGTACACTAAAGAAGGAAAAACCATGCGAAACGGCCCAGAACCTGAGAAATGGACCACTTCCTTGCCCGTTGATTTGAGCTATCATCGCTGTGCCCTCTTCAACGCTACGCTCTCTCACCTATCTAATCACTCACCACGTATAGACCTGCGGCGAGTGATCAGATGATCGGTGGGCGTGCACTGACCAGCCGCGGCGGGATTAAACCTTAATAGGTCAACGAGGTCAACTCCTCCTGTGCAAATTGTGCTTCAGTTCGCACACTTAGGAGCTCCGCGGGTCCCTCAACCAGGTGAATTCTTCCTAATTCGATTTTCCCTCTGATCGTGAATTCGTCCTTTAAAAAGTCACAGCTGCGATAATGCGGGAGCTCCATAGGCTTCATGTTGAAAACACAGACCTCAGGCAAGAACTCAACAGTGTTCGTAAGAATTTCTCACGATTTGTCTTTATGTAAGTGGACACGCTCAAAGTCATCCGTGTTGTAACATTCCTTTGACTTTTTGAATGTAAAATGTAACCCACTCACAGTCTATCGACTTGGATGGGCCTCGAGTAGGTAGGAACAGATTATTGAAAGTTGTCATGCCATCACGTGCGTTTCAACGTCTTGCATTAAAGCGAGCCTCTCATCTGCGTCACTTTCCTGGGCAGGGGGTCTTCATAATTACAGTCCATTACCTCTGTCCTTCAGAAGACATGGAGACGTAGGCGAAAATGAGGCGGCCAACAAGTGGGGAAGAAGCGAGGCAAAAACGCTGCCCCCAGTGTCAATGGTGGAGGCGATCACCAACTGCCTCCTTCTTCCATAACTGTAGCCAGTCCCTCCGCTAATGTGGAGGGAAACTGTTAGGTGTTCCCCGGTTTGTTCGTATGCTAAGATTTTTCTACGCAAATGTAAGGTCAGTCTCTAAAAACGCGGACTTCTCGAAGGTATTGTTGTCAAAAAATATTGAAGTACTACTTGCTTTCTACGAAACTTGGTTGAAGCCGCCACCCCTCTACTTTGATCCTAATAAATTTTACGTTTGCAGATTCGGCAGTCATCATTTAAAGTTGGCAAAAAAAAAAAAACAAAAAAAAAAAAACAAACCTCCAAACATATCACTGGCTCAATTCAGACATCGGGTGGCAAATATGCTGCTAAGGTACGATGTAGAGTACTAGCGTTTTCGGAGACTGACTGCTGAATTAAACCGCCTCTCCATCTGTTACTGTCAGATTTGACGGTATCTTGACTGATTTTTTTGTTGTTTAACTAGTGTGGATGTTATGTTTGATTCTTTTCTTCGGTGTATTTTCCCCGTGCCTTTTGCACACGTAATAAACCTAAACCCGTAAACCTAAACTTAAAGCTTGAATTAGCTAAGATTTCAGGATTGGGCGGCCTTATTCGAAAGAACTCCCGGGATAAAACACGCCCCGAAATGTTGATATTGGTCTTAGATTTCTATTATGGTACTTTTTTTCTACTCTTTGTGATGCGGGGCCCTTTCAACCGTCGAGCGCCACATTATATCATCTACTGAGACCGTCTTCTACAAATCTCCGGGCGGGGGGGAAAGCTCACCGGCGGCGCGGACGCGAGCGCGGCAAGCACTTCCGAAACGTCATCTTCCAAGTCACCGTCTATCTTTCTATCCCTTCGATTACTTCGTAACTTATGTGTAAACTTTTTTCTTTTTATTTTTTCTTGAAGCCTAGACAGCAGACCTTTTGTTTGGAAGCTCACAAAACCAAAGTTGTTCAAAAAAACTAAGCTTTGGATCACAATTATTTCGTAGTCTAGCACTTTGTCAGGCCTGCACCTTTCCAGCATCCTACATAATTGATCACACAGTGAACTATGTTATGCGGTTGGCAATCACATGAGTTAACCCACCCTGATGGCAGTCCTCATGTCCTCAGGAGGACATTCGAAGGGGTACATTTAAAAACCGCTGGTAGGTGACATAAGGACTGAGCCCTAGAGAGGGAGAAAGGCCAGGGAGAACAAAGGTTGCTCACGTCCTCCTCCAGAATCTCTTCCCTCCCTAAGGCTCAGTCCCAGGTTGTGTATTTGGCTCACTCACTTCAGTGTCCCCTCTAACGACATGAGCGTAGGTGTGAAATATAACTGAGTCACCTGACCTTATCTGACGATCTACTTGAATAGTCAAACCAACTAAAGCGTGACGGTCGTTTGACATCAGAAAATGGGCGGCTTCCATTGTTGCGTGCACTCTCGCCGCACTTTACATCGGCTTCACGGACGGGGATCGGGACAGGTTGTTGGCTCGTTCCCCGCTATGCGGCGTGTCTGACGAGATTACGTGATTGATACGAGGTCTGGGCCAGTGAACAAGGAACCTTTCACTCAAACAATACGTCATCTCCTATGTTTAGTAATAATGTTACACATAAGGTGTCTAATAGTTGTGATAAATCAAGCTGTGAACGACAAAACTGTCGCCATGTGAGGTGTAGTAAACATGTTTGTCCAGCCGTAAGAACTTCTATCGCCTGACCAAGTCTTGCCGATCATTGCCCTAGAAAGCGATCTCACAGACTGCCAAGCCCATGCTCACTTGGCCGACAGTTTAGTAAAGATTAAGAATGACAATCTCAGCAGATTTATATCCGTTTTCTAGTAAAAAGGACTTGAACCATGGAATGAAAAAATGTCCTTTGACGGCTACAGTACATTCCTGCGCGAGTACTTGGACTTCCTTGAAGTCCAGAATACTTGGTTATTGGTCCCTTCTCCAATCTTACGAGAAGACTTCAATGACTGCTTTGCAGAAGTTCTCAAGGGAGCCCCTCACATACGGCTTATACGGACTTATTACGTCTCCTTCAAGATTTTTAATCGAAGTGTTTCTACCGTGGATCTGACCGAAAGAGCGATGATTTTGGCATGATCTTTATCATGTTTTATGGTTAAAGCGAAGCACTAGATTATGAAAACGAGTTACAATTTTTTTTTGTGCGGCTCACTAGTGCAGAGAAAGGTGGCTGAAAATGGCTTATGATTGTACATAGCGGCATATACAATAAAAAAAAAAAAAAAAAAAAAAAGGATGCTGCATTTTTTTAAATTTTCACGTCCTTTTGCATACTTCAACACTTGTATGAAGCCTCTTACCTGAAGACACTACTAATACATGCTCATGTACACTGAAATAATCGATGGAATAAAGGATAAAAAGGATAAAGCATTTGCCGTTGATCAATCCCTTTTTGGGATGCGGCACGCATTCTACTTCCATTTGTACATTCGTAGTGGCGTTTGAATGCGATGTGGCCTATACAATGACTTGCGGGGGCCAGCCGATGTTCAAGTCAGTGTTTTTATCCTCCCAGACAAGTCTGGTACCAATTAACCGACCCCGGAGGGATGGAAGGCTTGGTTGGCCCGGGCGACTCACGACCCAGGATTTGATCCCGGACCGCTCGCGTGGTGAGCGTGCCACTTACCACTACACCACTTCCCCCCATCCATATCCAATAAATGATACTTGTAAAATCCCTTAACAAATTGCATTCTTCAACGTGGTATTCCTAGAGCCGCCGCGAAACTACAGCGCTTATCCCTTAATTTCCGTATATGTGCATTAGATTTTCTCTACAAACATAAAAAACATTCAAAAAGTGCTGAATGTCTGTGCTAGTCTTCGGTTGATGGCATTCTTTGCTCAGAATGCTGCTTGGGCAGAGATTAGAACTTGTAATCGGACTAGCTTAGAATTTGTGATTTGTATGGCTGGCTCGAAGAGACGGCGTCAAATCCCGAGACAATAAAACGTTTTCCGTGAAACAGGTCCAAGAACAGGTACATAGCCTGGAGGGAATCGTTTCAAATATAGTGGATTTAGAAGGAAATCTCCGCCATGACTTGCTCCACTAGATGTGGAGGTTTTCGAGGTTCTCCAATATAGTGTCAGGGTCACTCGCTCTCGTAAGACTGTCTGACTTATTCATAAGTTTGGAAGGGCTCACAGATAGATACTAGTGACAGAATTTGACAGTTCTTGCAAAGCTTGAGCAAATCTGATCAGTTCATATCTTCATTCCGATTTCCAGTAAAATTCCAGAAACCAATTTTTGTTTGGCAAATTACTAATTTTTTTGTTTCGCAACACAACCTTCACGATTCCAATCCTCTCGGAAGGATCTAACTCCATTGACGAAGTTTGATCCACGATGGTATGTAAGGTGCTACCATTGTTTCGCAGTGTTAAGATAGATTCACCCCAGCCCTGTCCCATAACTGGCTTTTACGTTGGAGCCATTGTGTGCGTGTACGTGGTTCAGGAGCGCTGACAAGGGGTGACTTTCCGCGCGCCATCGTCCGCCGTAGCCGTCGTTACTGTTTGCCCCGCCCCTGAGGCACTTTCACTTCGCCATCAGAGCATCGCCTTCCCCTTCAGGTGTTTTCCCTTCGGAGGACCAGCACCTTTCCCTTTCTACTCCTAAGCCCACCATCCTCCATCTATGCCACCTCATCCAAGGCGACGGCTTGTTCTGGTTTCTCCACCGCTATCGCACGTAAAGGGCTCTTCGCAAGCTAAGACGTATATAATGGATGTGTGTGTGTTGCTGGAAACTGCAACATTCCCGTGAGGGAACCGGTCCACTCGCTTCTTCATTTCCTCACTATGACTGACTGATTTGACTTTACCTCATACTGCCTTGTACTCTCGTTCATCCATTCATTTCTAGATGAGACGTCGTGGACGTTCGCTTCGGTGACCGTTCTTCTCTGTATTTGCTATGTGATGTCAGTGAAAATCATCGACAATGGGCTTGCCCCTCCAGAAATTGTTCACAGCCCCGTCTCCATGAAACGTACGTCTATGTATTTTTCTGTATTTTTTCACTTTGCTGATCTCTCGTTATTGTCCTTCTCCTGAGCTCGGAGACCTACTTTTCTCTGTTCTATACTATGAAAATTTCTGTGCGTGATGTGTCGAGTAAGAGTGTGAGTTTAGAGCGAGGGATTACGATAAAGTGTGGTGCAAGCATGGAAGTAGTACATGCACCAGTGGAAGCAGTAGTCAGGCCGAAGGAAGCAAAATGGGGTCTTTTCGTGGCCAAGCATAGTTCAGCGCCCTGGGGCTGAGCTCCGCCTCCGCCATGTGCTCCAGCCCTCAGTAGAATCATTGTTCTTATCATTTGGATGAGGTATTCCACTTCGAGTGCGTATCCTATAAGATTCCCATGGAGTCAGTAATCAATCAAAGCTTGGTTTTTTGCTGGAACAATTGCGACCGTCGGTTTAACATGTGCAAACGACCCCCCAGTTGGTTGCTAGCTGGTCCATTGTCGGTGGCCAACCGGCAAAGAAAGAGGTCTCAGTTTGCGCGTTATTGACGACTTTCTTTACACTTTCGCCATGGGAGATGAAAGTGGTCAATCCCGCACTTACTCATACCCAATCCAATCCTGGCAGAGCATCGTCTGTAATTGCCCGTCTTTCTAAGCATTGCCCTCTCTATAATATTGGTGTTGTTACATGCAGAAACAACATCAACTCGGAGGGGCCTGCCTTGAGCGAGGAATTACGACGATGGTGAGAAGTGGGCCGGCAATAAAGAAGAAAGGGGAAAGAATCCGACAAAATTGCTTGGGTAAGGGGGGGTGGTCTTACTTTCTGCTCTCTCGTGTGGTGCTTATTAGATTTTCTTAGTATTGACACTTTCATGAATCCTGAGGGATCCATCCTCCGCAACCGAAGGGTTAGCTGTGTTCGCTGTTGGAGATGCTGACCTGGCTTGTTGGCCTTTACGCATGGCCGATGTGTAATTGTACTATTTTCATTAGAGAAACAGGGGGGAGGATCCCTGTGCTTCAGATTGTTCATGTACACTCTGTCCCGGTTGTTGGCGAGACACGCTTTTGCTGATTTGCTGCACAATACCTAGTTGGGAAGGTCCTCAAAAAATCAATATCACAAGTGCTCTTGGTGTTTGATGCTACTTGATGTCACGTGATGTTTGCTACTAAGTCTGCACTTATGGCTTCTCGATGCAGTAAATAGATTATGTCCTATAGGTATGTTCTTTTCACTACGTACAAAATTATGAGTGGCGCATCCCTAAGGGCCGAAATCAGCGTTTTCTCCTGATTGATGTCTTGAGTACTGGTGTGATGGGTGTGTTTCCTTCCCGAATTTATTGTGCATAAATTGTCTTACGATAGGAGATTAGGAATTATATGTGGATTCGAGGGCAATGATCATGGCTTTGCGTAAAGTAATTCTTTTTTTTTTGTTCATGTTTTTGAAAACGTGAGTTTTGACTGAGACCCGTAGCTAACCCGATTCATTCAGGGTCAATGAAGCGCACATAACCATTCCAGGGCATTCCTCACACTCAGCACAGTAAAAGGCACAACAGATGTTATCTATAGGCACAGTTCTATCTGTTTAACTATGAATAAGCTGCCTGATAATCCTGGGTTTTTGTTTTACAGATACTACACCAATGTTTTGGACGGTCATGGATGTTTGGATTCATCGATACGTTCAACGGAATTGGCATTCTTAATCCACTTTGCCCTTAAGGAAGTGATGAAAAGCTGTGCTTTAATTGACTACCGAACGTAATGCTGCGCGGAGCGAGAGCTTTCTGTACTTTGAGAGTGCAATGGGCTCCAGATTTTCACCCAAGGAGTCGAAGCAACGTGTAAGATCGTAAGCTGGAGGCCAAGGTAGCTCTCGTACTTTACCGTCCGAGTTTAATGTGAAAAAGTCGATTCGGAGGCGATCCTACCAGAATGAGGAGATATGACAGTTTCCAGTACTGCATTACAGTTGACCTACTGTCGTTAGACTCAACTATAACGGTAAGTTACAACAGTGAATTTATTGATTGACAAAGCGGCTGAAGAGGTTCGGAACTTTGGGAACCTTGTTGAACTTCACAAAGGAACATACTCTTTCGAGTTTAAAATCCAGTTCGGGGTAGGGCACTTCTTGCTATCTTATCCGTAGTACTAGAGAGCAGTTCTTTGGGCTATCGAACACTACGGATAAGATAATAAGTGAACGACTCATTTCGAGCGTACTTTTGATAAGGACCGGTGGATGTCCTACATTCCACACTACCTGCCCACATCCCATCCACTTTTCTGCAGGTGATCTCCTGGAGCTCCTCACACTCAGGCCGGCAAAGATCTCCATTCCCCTAGTTCGGACCGTTTCCTTGAACCACTACAGGACAAATCGTGGAAGCGTCTGATTCTTGGTGCTCATCAGAAGTATGCTTTAAATGAGCCGATTACGTGTCATGAGAACTCCGATTCTTGTCTTAAGTGTTGGAGAAAACAATGGAGAGCCCTCCCCCAAAGTACATGTTGATTTTCACACTTCTTTCAGGTCCAGTAACCTTTATAACTTTCACATTGCTATCATAGGAGGCCAAACTCCAGTAAAAAATAACTGAATGAAGCGCTCCCAGTAATTGTGCTAGTCTTCTAGTTTCCCAAGTATGCATTCAAATTCACATATGTATAACCATGAAAAGAACTCATATGCACGGTGCATTCAAGACAGGGTTGGCCCCAGAACTCTTTTGGGCGGTACCTTTCATGATGATAGCTTTCCATTGCCAGTAATGAGAGAGATAAGACTCACACAAGTAGGTATATGAATAGAAAATGAATGTTCTGATTCGTGTCTCCGGTAGCAGCATTTTCGGAAACTAAAATTACTTCCAAATATGTTCCGACAATAGTTCGCCTCAAGAAGAGCCAGCATTTTGACTCTTCGATTGATGTAAGATCGGTTAAGCTTCTATTTTTGGATGACCTTTTAAAAGGAGGAATTCACGATTAGAATGAAGGTCGAAGAAAGGGAAACTGACCTAGTTGAGGGACCCACGGACCTCCTGAGGGTGCGAACTGACGCGCAATTCGCATGGAAAAATTTGACCTCGGCGACCTATCATGCCTCAAAGCTGGCGGGTCCGGCGATCTCCGCCCACCGATCATCTGATCACTCGCCGTAGTTCAATACGTGGCGAGTGATTAGATAGCTGAGAGAGCGTAGTGTTGAAGAGGGCACAGCGATGAGAGTCGCATCAATGCTCAAATCAACGGGCAAGGAAGGGGTCCCATTTCTCGGGTTCTGGGCCGTTTCTCATGGTTCTTCCTTCTTTCGTGTACCACTCACCATCCCTAGGTTAATTTGAAATGGGTTGCTTTTTCATCGTGAATTCGTCCTTTAAGCTTCTATTTTTGGATGACCTCAGATTTGAAAGACGTTAAACTTTTCCGATTAGCTTAACGTGGAGTGAAAACATCGTCCCAAAAAGTCCATGAGCCGGTTTTTTAATCTTGGATGCACGAAGAAACGACATCCGGAATACCCGTTAACGAGCGTGTTCCGACGAACTGAGACACAAACTAGCAGACCCTTACCTTCTCTTATCTCTTCAGCACTTGCTTTTTTGGGGACTAGAAAGAATGTGAAGATGTAGTGTTTTCATTGTTACAGCTCGATGCGAAATACGAGCCCCGGCCTTGGATTTGATCTTCATTCTGGACAGTTCGGGATCGTTGCGTGACCAATTTCCAGCCGAGATTGACGTCATTCGGCGGATCATTCGTCATGTCACCATAGGGGACACGGCGACCCGGGTGATGCTAGTCCAGTTCAGGTAACCACTCTAGTCAACGGGACTAGCGATCCATGGCTGACTTGATGCTGCTTTTCACAATTATTTCAGTGGGACTCAGCACCTCGAGTTCAATTTCAATAAGTTCACCACTCGAGAAGAACTTCTGGCCGCTCTGGGTGTTCTCCGGCATGTGTCCGGCATAACTCGAATCGGTGGAGCGTTCGAGTTCACTCTTGAGGCGCTAAGGGATCCCTCTAATGTGAGCAAATGGTTACTGAGTAAAAGTTCACAGAACTTTTTTTGAAGAGGATACATTGTAGGGCATGCGGGATGCCAACGTGCCGAAGATTATCTACCTACTTTCGGATGGACGAACTCATGACTATCCGAAGGATTGGGAAATGGCCAACGTTGTCCGAAGGTGAGCTGATGCAGCTTTTTAATCTGAATCTATCTATAATTCTTGATTAATGTGGTTCAGGTCAATCCCAAATGTAGACATTTGGGCATATGGAACCGGTAATTACGTCGCTATGCCAGCCCTTCTCAATTACACACAGGTACCACGATTGTGTCGATTGCCCGAGATTTACTAAAAATTTAAGCTTCATGGTCGCTTGGATAATCTGATGATAAGCGTGATGGTTTGATTTTATCTTGAAACATTCGTGGTATTGCGTCGTTCAAGGAGCACCACGCGATAGTAAGCACACTTGCCGTGGGTCGCCAAGTCGCGGGTCGGAATAGGCGGTCAAAGTGACATTTCCCTAACTATTGTGGGTGGGACTGCAACAAGATGAGTGACGCCATGCTTCTGACTCGGAACGGCGTGGGAGTAAGGCTACTGGCCCGTATTTTGTAAGCGATGGCCGTCCCTTGCATTGTCTTATTCAGCAAGCACCACGCTTTACACGCATAGCGGGGACAAGTTATGCACAGACACTTGTTGAAAGGGCCGACAACGATTTGCCGAGTCCGCAGTCCCTCACTTCTAGTAAGAATATGGACAAGACCTTCCCATTAGGTCGACCAGGTTCAAGACTGTCATGCATGTGCCACAAAAATGTGAAAATTTTTACTGACCGCTCCCCCCCGCCCCCTTCCCCCTTTGGGAGGTATCAGTACGACTCCCGTAATATCTGGTTTCTTTTTATGTGCTGTATTTTTATGCCCATCATCTATGACTATGGGCCGTCACTGACATGGAGATGTGATGGAGTCCGCAGGCTTTGTCTCGCTCAGAGGAAGAAATAGAAGCAGCATGAAATTTACTGTTGAATAGAAGTAATTAAAAAGTTTTCGATTTAAAGCAACAGTTCAGGGAGGGTCCGAAAATTTCAATGCCACTACTACTGAGGGATACACGAGCCCTAGTGAAGAACATATGCAGTGGAAATAATAAACGAACTTACCTCAGAAACTCAAAAACAGGGTGGAAAGTCCCTCAAACATGGGTGTTCTTGGGGATTTCCCCAATCCCGCCCCCTTGCCGGCCGTCATTGGACGCGTCGGCAATCGTGCTCGTTTTGGGACCACAGGGAAAATTGATTGAAAAATGGAGCGCGTTTACAGCGGGCACGTTCAGACAACTCGTCCAACGTGCGTCTTTATCCATTGCTGAGCGGCAGAGGGAGAGTACCTGTCTAAGACCCTCCCCGACGTTTTTTTCCAGTTTTTTCATACATTAATCGTCTGGTTTTCATCTACAACTTCATTATTGGTGGTTTTTTCCCGCGAAACCGTTCCTGAACTGTTGCTTTAAGCATTTAGTTAATCGCAGCGATATCTACTACTTTCAGAAACCTACCGAGTATTTTCAAAGTTCCGAATCTTTTTTTCCTTTTTTTACAAGCCAAATAAGTAATACTTACAGCAATTACGATCCGTCATGATACAAACCTCTCCATTCAAAAGATCATATCTTTCTTCAAGGGTGGTCTCATGAGATGGGATACAGAACTTTAAAAACTTAGCTGTTTTCTTTCTTAAAATTTTTTGACTATTGCAAATATTCAATTCATTCGAAAAATCGGTCCGAGGTTCCTATTGTCTTGTGCCACACGAGAGTTTCCTCATCTCAAATACTTTTGTCGTTGATCAATCCATGCGTGGTTGCTGGCACCGGGATTCTACGTCCATTTGTACATCCGTACTATTGTTTGAATGGGGCCTATATAATGACTTGCGGGGACCAGCCGATGAACAAGATTAGCTCCCAGACAATTCTGGTACCATTAACCGACACCGGATGGATGGAGGCTAGGTTGGTCCGAACGAAGCGCGACCCAGGGATTCGATCCCCGTCTCACTTTTGAGGACCCATTCAAAACTCTGCATATCAGAGCGCATTCCTTACCATTCGTTCTTGACCATGTATTCTGCGTCATCAACCGGAAGAGACACAATTTTGGGGACCCATCCCCGGCCGGACACTGTTGCACACACCCTCATGGTGAGATGGCGCTTTTTTCACCACAGGGGTAACGCTCGCTCGCGTTAACCTCTTTAACTATATATAGAAATCACGCATCTCATTTGTATCGTGTTCACGCTCTTATGTATATCGGTGTAGAGAAGTTGTGACATGGATTAGTCCTTGCATAATGACGCTTAGTGCACATATCGCGCAGCCTTTCACACGCATCGTGTTACTCATGTCACACATATAAGTATACTCGATTATATCGACAAACTAATGCTCACAGAGGACTTACTTCACACGAGATTTCAATATGGACTCGAGACCTTACTTAGCTGCTCACACTGTCTGTAGATACCAGACAACTCGCTCGTTTCTTACACTGCTATACCTGCTCGCATCGTTGAATAATGTTCTGTATAAGTAGTCACATTCCGCTCCTGATAATTATAGATAATTTGTTATAGCGTGCAGTGACATAGAGTCTTCCCCAACTAATCTCACTCTGCACGTCGAAACAGCCCAGCGCTAGTCCCTCAATGACACTTGTTAGCAATCTCACCACTCATACATTCCACGTGTGAATAACTTACGAATCTTTCACTGCCAGACACTGATTCCAATGGCGTCGTAGCTAATTATGCGTAATAGGCCTAGAAAACTGGAAAGTGATAAGTGACTAGCCTGCCTATCCAGAACAATGCGTGGCATCCACTAACTGGCGGCAGGCTTGGATGAAAATAAAATAAAATGACCGCTACTTGCCGTATCTAACCACTGAACAATTTTCAAAGTGTAATATTAATGGAAGAATGGCCTTCTCTTGGAGATGAAAAGTAGAAAGCGTATCACTGGTCAAGAAAATTCCTGGAGAAAAAAACGCCTCAGAACCCACGAGTATTGGCGCTTCCTGAACCCAGATTAACCCGTGCGTTTGATTCTGCTTCAGCAGCCCCAGTGACCAAAACGAGACGGTGTACGTGAATAAGGACCGATCGTCAGGTACCATCATACGAATATCCTCTCTTCAGAGGGAGATGTAAACACTAGAAAATCAAGGATCGGACCCACAGTACATACATGACCCTCAAATTGAGAGACCAAGAGTGTAGGCGAACAGTAGTAATACAATTCAACCGATAAATAGCCCGAGCCCTCTCGTCGAGGGCGGCGACAGGTTGTACCGATTCAGGAGTTTATCGTTAGCCAAGTAGGGCAATAGGCTCGCGACAATTCGCCGCGGATTCAGTCTCAACGCTTCCTGGCGGGTGCTTCCAACCTTTTGAGTAGCATAGTTCCTCCTCCAATCCCTCGCTCTACTGTAACTTTCGGCTTCGAATGTTGACTCTCATGGGAAAGTTGTTATTACCAACCCATCGTTCAGGATGCTTCAGCGATTGTCACAAATGCGAATTTGAACACGTTGGAGTCAAGATTCGATCCATTCCACGGCATCGAAATCTGCGAGAAAATTCCTTGTGGGTTTTTTTTCGACTAATCCTCAAGGCTTTGACCATGATTGATGTTTGCAGCTTGCATCAAGGGTTCGGACAAGCCGGTCGATATTGTCTTACTCGTGGACGCTTCTGAATCTCTGACCCAGCTGTTCAATAAATAACAAAAAAACGATCAGATCCGTTTCGCCATTGACAGAATCATCGGTAACATCAACGTTCATCCAGATGCAGTGAGGTTTGTAGCTCTCGCTGAAGGCTCGTTTCTCGCGTTACGCTTGCCAAAAACGTATTTCAGGCTAGCACTGATCACCTATTCGGGACAGACGTTCGTCCACTTCAAGTTCAACGATCGTCAGTTCAGCAACAACTCGGCTGTTATCAGCCATTTGAAGACGTTACGGTCCATCAAAGGAACCACATCCACAGATGTCGCTCTCAATGAGACCTTTTCCCTGCTGAAGTCGCGCAGTCCAAACGATGGTGAATTGTATATTGGCAACAAAATGATGCGTATCGATTATTACACCTAAAAAATTCCAGGATTACGACAAGGAGTACCGAAAATGGTGATCATCCTCACAGATGGGCATTCAGCAAGGAGTCCAAAGGAAACCGCCGAAGCGATGAGAGCAGATGGTAAGATGATTACGGTACATCCAGTACATGAGTACCCAGTACTAATGGTGTTTAGGGATAACAATATTGGCGGTCAGCGTCACACCAAGGCCTTATGTTGACGAGGCTGAGCTTCTTGCGATTACTGGCGATCAAACAAGAGTATTCACACCTAAAAACGCGCAGGTAAGTCTACTCGCCAGAATTTTTGAAGCCTTTGGTTCCGCTGTCCACCTGATAGTAAATCCCTTTTAGAATCGTAACATTTTAATCAGATAAGCAAGGAACTGTGCCATGAACTGTCTAAATTGACTGCTGCGGTAATTTTATGGCTTTATGCACGGGTATTCAAATAATACACTAGTTGAACGTGGACAGTAGAAACATATGGCAACCAAGGAGTGGAATAGAACCACCTAAAAGTCGTAATATTGAATGTGGATTGGGAGGAAAATCGGTGCATGAAAGAAGCATTGTAGATGGAATCATACTTTTCCTACCAAATCTCATACATCTTTACCTATCATTCGTTTTCCACTGCTTACCTCAAAGGCACAGGCCGCAATCAAACTTGTGTATATGTATATTCCGCTTGAAAATGAGGCAAGGGTGAAACTTCAGTTCGGGGGGCACTTCCTGTTATCTTATCCGTAGTACTAGAGAGCACTCCTTTGGACTCAACACTATGGATAAGATAATAGGTAAACGACTCATTTCAAGTGTACTTTTGATAAGGACCGGTGTATGCCCTACATTACGCACATCCTGCTCACATCCTAGGCAATTTATGGCATGGGATCATTCACCCTGGGCTGCCCATCTCCCTGGACCACAGCAGGCCAAATCTATTTTTTTTTTTTTTTTTTTTTTTTTTTTTTTTTTTCTCTGACTTAACGTAAACAGGTTTTGTCCAGAACATATCTTCTGACTGAATCGCTTTACGTCTCTGAAACCTTTTATGTCTATCCACAATGGAGTGGCCACCTCAACCCGACAGTTCGCGGGCAAGAGGGGGAAAGCGGTGAGAGCAAGGTTTGCGCGGTAAGGCCCATACCCAGCAGCACTTTCAGTCGCGAAGTGCAATTATTCCTTGTTATAGGGACCTCCCTTCTGACTCAAAGAGCGATTTGCTCTTTCTAATACGTCCCATGCATTAGATTCTGTGCCTATATGTAGCTCTTCGAGAGTCAGCAGTTGTTTCAGAACTTCGAAGCTGAGCTCATGAAACACGTCGGTTTTGGATGCGAAGGACTAGAACTTGGGCCTGACGCTAGTGAGTACACGTCTAACCATACGAGTTTTTACTAGTACACCATTGAGTAGCATGGTTACAGAACCTCGCGTTCGTGGAGCAACGGACGTCACGTGTGATGCGAATTCCGTCACACTAACTGTGAGGACACAACGTCCCATGCATGGTCTCGTCTATGCTCAACATTTCCACGATACCCCTCAATGTTCTCTGGTAAAGTAGACCCGGTCGTGCAGGAATCAACACTGTCTATATCTCGCATCGCTCGAAATACTTACTTTTATATTGATCTTACCTTTCTTTCTACCCAGGCTCTCTTCCTTCGCTCTTATGCGAAATACATTTCTCTGCATAACATGCTAGCCATTTCCGCATTCAGACAAGCGACGCTTCTTCACGCGAAGTTTCAATCACATTCCGCGACGGAACTTGTGGGCTTAGCAAAACTCCAGCAAAGGTATCGTACTGATGTGAAATCGCTCACACTTTTTGAACCATAGAATATAAATTCTTAGATTACCTGTTAGAACACTTCCGCTCGTAACTACATTACTTTTCAGAATGGCGATGGGTACAACTTCAACATCACCGTAATTCTTCAGTTCCACCCCATCATCATCACAAGGGCAGATCAGGTGAACGATTTGAAACAAAGAGGATATAACCATCTGTGAGAAAGAGAGGAGGTCTTGTTGTGCAGTTCCAAGTCCTACGAATGGCAAGACCTCAGTTACTTATCCTGCTATTACTATCAGCCAAGAGGACTTTCTTTTCCAACAATTAATCGCGGTATATGCCTAAATGCGCCGACGGGTGAGAGGTTAGGGGGGAAGGGGTTGGGGCTGGTGAGATTCTCATAATGACTATGAAGACTGCGGTCTTTCTAGATAGTACCGAATATGTCAGTGTGGTGAATAAGCTCCAACAAAGTTTGTAATAAACGTTCTTTGGCTTACGTTTCATCACTTTCGCCTTCCTCAGAGCCTGGAAGGAGCAAGTTATTTCACGAAATAACCGTCCAAATACTATTTTGATCTACAAGAATCCCTCAGCAGGGGTAAACTACTAGGGCTGACGTCATGGGACAGAAAGAAGGAAAACTATCCTTCTAGAAAAGGTCGGACAATGATGTCCACCTTGCCAACTCGAGCTGACAGTAACGCGGCTTGTTATACCCAAAGGTCGCTTGCTGAAAGACCCCTCCTGAGAGTTGATAATGGAGATCAAAATACCTCAGAAGGATGCTATAGCCGGAACGAGCCGCTGACCCTTGTCAACAGCCATTTCCTATCGGTTACTGTGTGAACCCCTACTCCACCCCCTCGAGCGGACCCCGCGGGGGATCGCTCGACCGTACGTTATGTAAGTGATACCAATTTTATTCTCGGAGCTGTAGATGCTAGCGCTTGTGAATCGCTTCGGTGCGGAACTTGTTCTCAGTACTAAATGAATTTCGACTGATTTCATCTGTAACCAGCACTAACACATGTAAAGTGAATTTTCTTATGCGTGGGAGGTCCACAATATAATATAATGAAACTGAGAACCCGCTAAATGTTGAGCTACTTCCTGGGTAACGTTCTTAATTTTAAGGTGCTAAACTAATCCCTAGGGTTAACGTTTTATTTTGAGGGTCTTGAAGTGAGCTGTTTCTATCAACAGCCGCTGTCTCCACAGGAGATCACCCGAGTTTCAAAGAATGTTGCCGACACTGACTGCACTTACCGTATTCACAGGTACGCGTTTTATTCAGCTTAGGTAGGTATAGAAGAACAAGTAGAAAGTTTGAGTCTCCGACTAACTTTCAGGTACTCTCCTACTCAATGCGTCGCCTTAGACGCCAAAGTCGGCGAGACGTTGTTCCACAAATGGCAGTGTGACAGCCGTGAGATGGCATCTATCAATTTTTGGCATAATAACTAAATATTTTAGTTGACTCGGAAATTTTCTTCTCAACTTTGTATCTTTACAGCTCCGCAGTTCTCCTATTTGGTTCATGACTGTTACGTGAAGTCCGACAAAGAGCGCCATACAAATTCTGGACAGTGCAGGGCAAGTCAACTGACCATTTGCAAACACTGTTTAGACGAAGAAATAGAATTGCCATTTCAGATGTGAGGTCGATCATCACTTCTCGAAACGCCCAACTATTCTCGACTTGGTCTTCCGCACGAAGAGAATTATGTTTTTCAGGTTGAAGCCCTTATCATCGCTTCGAAGAGAGGGCGATGCTAATTGAAAACTTTCAGGAAATGTCGGTGTTCAAGTTCCCAGGTGAAGGGGATGTCTACTTTCAGTGCAAGATTTCGCTGTGCGATATGGAGTCCGGAGCCCTGCCATGCATTACCCAAGTGGTTGGTTTCCCTCCCTTCCATTTTTTCCATGCTTTCTGTTATCTTAAACTTGCCATTAAATTTGCCACATCAATCAATATGTATAAATCGACCGTCTTCATACTAATTCTACTTTTTATACGTATTGATACCTGCTAGAATGTTCAGCCTTGCGGTTCGCGCCGGTGCCAACTAACCAGCTCATCACGTTATATGTGTTAGAGCTGATGAGCTCTGGTAAATATACCATCGAAAGTTAAACTAAAGTGAAGTGGTTTGCCGGTGGGGTAATCGATAGCACGACTGTCCGGAGAGCAAGAGGTGTAGGTTGGATTCCTGGTTGGGGCGACGAGTTTTGCACATCGCTGCCTTTAAGACAGTTTTGCAGCATTCCTGTAAAACTATCTTAAAGGCAGCGATTACGATAGATTCCGGAGGGGTTTAAGGGGGACGTGGGGTGCTCAATGGTACGCCAATGGCGAAAAAAGCAAAGAAATCCGTCAAAAATAAGCAAAATAGTACCCCTTTCAACTGCCCGTTCATTTTCGACCTGCAGCGACAAAGAAGGAGTTGTTCGGACGTGTTAACCCCGATAGCCGCCATCATGCCAACAAGCATAGTGTTTTGATTGATAAGGCATTACATAGGCAAGTTGGAAGATACAGCCGCTAAAAGGGAAACGATCTTCCAAAATGAAAAGCCAACAGCAAACAGCTCGCCCAAGTCACCAACTGAACTAGTGGGCGTAACGCTTTTGGGGCGGAGTGCTTCGGAAGTCCTGCTCAGCAACCAGGCACCTTTCGTCGTGAAAGCGCCACACTTCGCTTCCTTGGCAGCCAAGTAACTGCTTCGTGTGGCATAGCTTTCCCGATGCGCTCCCTCTTTATCACAATCGCTTCCTTCAGATCACTTACAACAACGTTTCCATGGTATTCTCTTTCACAATCTGCCAGCATGAACGTGAGCTCACAGCGGAAGGCGAAACAAATTTTGTCATGATTACCACCATGCTCCTCACCAGCGTTATCAGTTATTGTTGCATCCCGTCCTCTTCCATGTGTGCTACCACCCTATTACCTACACCTTTTGCTAGGGTGGTCTTGCCCAATTACGAGGAAGAGCGTTCTGAACTTGATGGTACATTTCCCGAACATCAATACCAGCCTTCCTAATTTTTGAGCAATCAACGATTTGCTTTTTTGAAAACGAGGCCCTTGCTTGGGAGAAGTTTCCCTTTTTTCATGAGGAGAAAACCCGGAGAACCCGAGTTTTTGAAGGCGGCTATTGTTCGGTTTCAATGAAGGAAAAGACTGCTCCGGGAGTTCTTCATGATCCATTATACTCACTGTACCTTCCTCCAAGCTACCCCATCTTTTCGTTTACGTCGTACATACACGAATACGGAAGACCGCGAAACCGACTCAATGTCTTGTTCTATTGCAAATTCAAAGACTTTTAGCGAAATAGAATGAAGGTTGCTAATAGTGACGGAGAGAATATCACTGAGTATCACAGTTTTATATCTTTGTGTATTGTTTCAAACATTTCTTCGAATAGAAGCACTACGCTCATTATATGCCAGTCTAAGAGTTTGCCCGTGCTACGCTATTATGTGCCAACCAAATACTAGTGTGCTTGTTAAGCGGCTCATCCCTCATGCAGGAAACCTACTGTAGCCTCGTAGGTGGAGCAGAGGAGAGTGTTAGGAGAAACCGAACTTTGGCAGAGGTAGGAAGCGAGTGAGCGTTGGCCGTATATAACATGAGGTCATTTTTCTGCTAAACCCCTTCCCCTTCTTGATTATGGCCCACCATTGATATTCTATATTCGATGGGCGGAAGTGGTGTAGTGGCAAGTGGCACGCTTACCACGCGAGCGGTCCGGGGATCAAATCCTGGGTCGTGAGTCGCCCGGGCCAACCAAGCCTTCCATCCCTCCGGGGTCGGTTAATTGGTACCAGACTTGTCTGGGAGGATAAAAACACTGACTTGTACATCGGCTGGCCCCCGCAAGTCATTGTATAGGCCACATCGCATTCAAACGCCACTACGAATGTACAAATGGAAGTAGAATGCGTGCCGCATCCCAAAAAGGGATTGATCAACGGCAAAAATCCTTTATCCTTTATTAATATTTGAATTTAAGTTATGTCACAGATGGAGGAAGCGCTGGCGGGGCTACAAACGTGGCCGAAGAAGAATTCTCATGCCTTTGAAATTACATTTCCCTTCAATTTTTCTTCTTACGATCAGTGTCGGGGTAACGTGATTGTAAGAAAAGAAATGTAATAGATTAAAGGCTGCCTTGCTTCAAGGCATAAAATTTTAAGAGGTAAAGCGGCTAGCTGGTTCACACTGAAGCTCGAGTGAGGGTTCCAGATTCCAATTTACAACCAGTAGCAACCGTCCATTGTTGCAGTTCCAAAAATTCATGACTTTCCTTTGGGGGTCCCGGTACCACCCACTCATCACCGTCGCCATCACACTTAGGGGAATCTCTCAACACG